GATGATTTTCTCAATATTTAGATTTTTTTGCACCCTCAGATTCCAGATTTTCAAATATTGTCCGATCCAGTGTTCGAATCCTAACCCCCCCACCCCAAAAAATTAATGAACAAAATAGAAATACATAAATAAAATAAAACTGTATATACATATGATGCATATTTTTTGTCTTGTCCTCCTCGTTATCATTGAGAAAACCTAATTCTAAGATAAAAGATTATTTTATGATGATCAGTGAATTAGGTGTACCAAACAATCACGAAGCAAAGAAGAATTAAATATCTAGCCTAGGGGTGTGCCATGTTGACAAAAAATGATCTCTACATGTGACCCTCTCTGTGAAATCCAGGCTAAAGTCTCAAAATCTAATTATGAGATAAGCATCAACGTTTGATTTCAACCATTAATTTCACTATGATTTCAATCTTTGACAGTCTTACTCAATCAGTAATAAAGATATCAATGTTACATTTTAACAGAATGTTCTTTACCTTATGAAGGATGATTTTATATAGAAAACAATAAATCACCAAAAACTGACTTTAGCTGGGTTTTCACAGACAGGGTCACATATTTTCTGTGGTAACGATCGATAATCAGTTGTTTGCCGAGTGTGCTGCCCTGCAGGACTGACTCTGTGCTGGCCCGTTCACAGCAGTGAGAGAAATTCATCTTTTCCAACAAGTCTAAAATGATTTTTACCCTTTATGGGCAGTTTTACCTTTGTAAAGCCTTTGTTTTTTCTAGAAGTGTGTCAAATTCTTACATTTAATCAATAAACAATAATAAGACATTTGGGACGATTACCAAACAAATAAAATCATTATCATTAACAAAAGTCATGCAATGCAACACAGAAGCTGCATATACACACGGTTTCGTGCAAGAATGCTTTAACCTGCAGTTACACGTGCATAAATCATGTTTTGATATTTTAATCTTAAAACGTTGAATACTGATATCTGAAATGATTAAAAAATATATAAAAAGGTACTTTAAAATGTGAAATTAAAACGGCCAGCAGGTGGCAGCAAGTCACTGTTAATAAGTGAGTCACTGCGACTGAACCGAATCATTTGAACGCTTGATTCATTCAGGAACCAAACACTCGTGTAGAGACGCAAAACTGTGCTGTGGCTTTGTTTGGATCCATTTTGTTTGAGCAAAAAATAGACAATTTAATCTTAAAACGTTGAATACTGATATCTGAAATGATTAAAAAATATATAAAAAGGTACTTTAAAATGTGAAATTAAAACGGCCAGCAGGTGGCAGCAAGTCACTGTTAATAAGCGAGTCACTGCGACTGAACCGAATCATTTAAACGCTTGATTCATTCAGGAACCAAACACTCGTGTAGAGACGCAAAACTGTGCTGTGGCTTTGTTTGGATCCATTTTGTTTGAGCAAAAAATAGACACAATGGTGTCTAATACATAAGCTCTTAATATCAACTTCTACCTTTGTATAAAATCAATTTCACATTTGTGATTTTTGCGAAAAAATTGCACTCTTCGTGTGATATTGATCAAGTATATGAAATGATCTAAATATAAATTTTCTGCCCCCACATCTAGAATTTTGTGAGCATTCTAAATGCATTCTGATTCTGAATCATGCCGTGAAAGAACACGCTCTAAACGAGAACAGTCAGTCTAGCTAGCGTTTACGCACACATAGCTCCTCTCATAATCAATGAAGCCGTCCATGCACGCTATGATAAACTAATCTCTAACTCACATCGTACGTACATCTGCACTTTGTTGCTTATGATGAGGGAATTCGCGAGTTTCAGTCTGGACGCCTCTGATTGGCTACTGCATTCCTAAACTCAGCAGAGTCGTGTGTGATTGGTTATAATGAGCAACGCTGTAAAAACACGTAAAAATAAAATGTAACATAAGCAGGTCCAAATTTTAAAACCATTGTAAATATGAAAGTTTTATTAAAGAACCAGGGGACCCCCCCCGGGGAGTATACCTTTTGGGGTGTTATGGGGGTCCCGTAATGCTTATGGGGGTCCGGGACCCCCCTCAATTCGAACACTGGTCCTATCCTAACAAACCACACATCACTGGAAAGCTCATTTATTCTATATTAATCTCTATTTTCTAACCAGCACAGATTAGTTTTATAAACCGGATTGAGAGGCGAGTCTGAAACACAGCGAGACGGATCTCTCTCGTCGGCTTCGGTCACAGATACGAGTCAAACGTGTTCAGAGACACGCACGGAAGCGCATCTTAGCCCCAAACAGGTTCCGCCGCTAGAACGCGACTGACTCCGAGCTCTTCAACAGCTGCTGCCAGCGTCACTCGCCAGAAATAGCACCAAAACTTCCACACGTTTCAACTCAAAAATAATACTTCAATCCCACTTCAAACTAGGCGTCTATGTTCTTACAAAATAAATAAATGCTCCTTGGGTACAATGTAACGGTTGCGTTGAAGTGAATTGCAAGCTGCTGCTGCTGAGTTTGGGTTTTGGTTAAGCTTTGGTGAGGTTTAGATTAGGTTTAAGGGTCAACGCTGTAATTATAGATGTAACGACTGATATGAATTGCATAACTACAGGAAGGTATTGTTAAATACAAGTACAATATAAAAACATGTACACAGCAAGTGCATTGCATCATATGATTAATTTAAATGTCAGCACGCAAGATGAAGCATAAGACACTTAATATAAAGCGTGTCTATGAATAAAACCTACGCTCATGTGCTCCTCGTGATGACTGCGCTTCTCCTGCGGGACACAAACAGCACTGGACCCCACTGGCTTCCATCGTATGAACACAGAACTCCGTAAACCTCCAAACTAAATTATGCATCTGACTGAATGCAATTTCACTCTGAAGCTCTATTTACCAGGGTTTCTGTGAAACGCAGCAGAAACATTCGCTTTGAGACGCAGCTCTACAAGCCACCCATCACTGTACACTGTGTTCTCACAGAGGTCACTGGGGTCAGCGCAACTAGTTTAGACTAAACACTCAGCCCTAGGCCCTAACCCCAGGACCCTGCAGCGCAGGTAAATCCGGTTCCAGTCCTCTAGAATAACCACAGTAGAGAAGACCAGGTCACACTGGTGTATGGTTTGTTAGGAGAGCACAGTATCTGAAAATCTGGAATCTGAGGGTGCAAAAAAATCTAAATATTGAGAAAATCATCTTTAAAGTTGTTCTTAGCAATGCATATCACTAATCAAACATTACGTTTTAGGTACGGAATTTACTAAATATCTTCAAGGAACATGATCTTTACTTAATATCCTAATGATTTTTGTCATAAAAGAGAAATGTATAATTGTGACCCATACAATGTATTGTTGGCTATTGCTACAAATATCCCCCAGCGACTCAACACTGCTTTTGTGCTGCAGGGACACAGATATCATGTAAACAGACACTTACACCAAATGTACACCTGATTCAGGCGACTCCACAAACACTGAAACGCCAGATAATCGATATATCCATCACGAGTGGAAGGAGTCTAGCACATCATGATGTTATGATAGAAGCAGGAACACGTAACCTTAGAATAAAGTGTTTTAAAGAACTGTACACAAAAGGATTCTTCGGGGAACCAGTAATGGTTCTTCTGTGAAAACCCCTCTTGGAGCCTTTATTTTAAGAGTTTTAGGTTATTTGTGTGTGCTGTTGGATTAAAATAAACCGCTACTAGTTTTTCACGAGCTGCTGAACATCTTCAGGTCTGTTTAAAATCATGAATTTAGGACATCTGCGGCGCGCAGTGATCACTCACCATCGCTGGAGGACTCTGGGTGTGCTTCACAGCTCCAGCAGCACCCGCTCATCAGCTAACGTTACAGCGGACTCATAAACAAACACGTTTCCACAGCGTTACTGAACATGACAACAGCGCGACATCTGCCGTGATTACACTCCTGCGCGAGCGAGCGAGCGAGCGCGGGTATTTACCTCAGAACTCGCGCCAGTACTTGTTTGAATATTGTCATGTTTAACCGTCACTGCAGTGATTATGCGCCCGAGTGTCAGTGAGCAGCGGAACAGAGCGGCTAAGCTAACTCGACTGTGTCCATAACCGGAGGCTTTACGTTAATTCCGCGCAGGATCGTTGTGATCTACGTACGACGGCGTTCGAACGCGACGCCAGGTGTTTCCAGCGCGCTCCGCCGGTGCCGGGGCTCGGTGCGCACACGCGTCACAGCAGCTAACGCTAGCGGCGAGCCACGAGCCAGAACGCCTCGACGCGACGCCCGATCAGCTGTCAGCGCGTTCGTCTCGTGCGCGCCACGCAAGCGCTTAGAAACCCGCAGAGACGCGTAACATACCATTCTCTTCACCGTTCAGAGTCGCGACGCGCTGATCCGGGGCGTCTAGCCATCTATCGGCGCCGTGCTGCTCGGTGAGCCGCGGAAGGAGAGCCCGGTGGCGGCGGAGGGAGTCGTGTGCGTCCGCTGCAGCTCCAGCAGAAGGTGGAATTTTCATAATTGTGCGACTCTGGACTGACGCAGCGTGACGGAGGCGGTTTGAGCCCTGCCCCCCACTGACTCAGAGCGCGACGCGTCACATGCGCGGGGCGGGGCGTCGCGTCTCACCCACACACACACACACACACACACACACACACACACTCACAGACACACACTCTCATTCACTCACACTCTCATTCCCTCACACACATACTCTCATTCACTCACACTCTCATTCCCTCACACACATACTCTCATTCACTCACACTCTCATTCCCTCACACACATACTCTCATTCACTCACACTCTCATTCCCTCACACACATACTCTCATTCACTCACACTCTCATTCCCTCACACACATACTCTCATTCACTCACACTCTCATTCCCTCACACACATACTCTCATTCACTCACACTCTCATTCCCTCACACACATACTCTCATTCACTCACACTCTCATTCCCTCACACACATACTCTCATTCACTCACACTCTCATTCCCTCACACACATACTCTCATTCACTCACACTCTCATTCCCTCACACACATACTCTCATTCACTCACACTCTCATTCCCTCACACACATACTCTCATTCACTCACACTCTCATTCCCTCACACACATACTCTCATTCACTCACACTCTCATTCCCTCACACACATACTCTCATTCACTCACACTCTCATTCCCTCACACACATACTCTCATTCACTCACACTCTCATTCCCTCACACACATACTCTCATTCACTCACACTCTCATTCCCTCACACACATACTCTCATTCACTCACACTCTCATTCCCTCACACACATACTCTCATTCACTCACACTCTCATTCCCTCACACACATACTCTCATTCACTCACACTCTCATTCCCTCACACACATACTCTCATTCACTCACACTCTCATTCCCTCACACACATACTCTCATTCACTCACACTCTCATTCCCTCACACACATACTCTCATTCACTCACACTCTCATTCCCTCACACACATACTCTCATTCACTCACACTCTCATTCCCTCACACACATACTCTCATTCACTCACACTCTCATTCCCTCACACACATACTCTCATTCACTCACACTCTCATTCCCTCACACACATACTCTCATTCACTCACACTCTCATTCCCTCACACACATACTCTCATTCACTCACACTCTCATTCCCTCACACACATACTCTCATTCACTCACACTCTCATTCCCTCACACACATACTCTCATTCACTCACACTCTCATTCCCTCACACACATACTCTCATTCACTCACACTCTCATTCCCTCACACACATACTCTCATTCACTCACACTCTCATTCCCTCACACACATACTCTCATTCACTCACACTCTCATTCCCTCACACACATACTCTCATTCACTCACACTCTCATTCCCTCACACACATACTCTCATTCACTCACACTCTCATTCCCTCACACACATACTCTCATTCACTCACACTCTCATTCCCTCACACACATACTCTCATTCACTCACACTCTCATTCCCTCACACACATACTCTCATTCACTCACACTCTCATTCCCTCACACACATACTCTCATTCACTCACACTCTCATTCCCTCACACACATACTCTCATTCACTCACACTCTCATTCCCTCACACACATACTCTCATTCACTCACACTCTCATTCCCTCACACACATACTCTCATTCACTCACACTCTCATTCCCTCACACACATACTCTCATTCACTCACACTCTCATTCCCTCACACACATACTCTCATTCACTCACACTCTCATTCCCTCACACACATACTCTCATTCACTCACACTCTCATTCCCTCACACACATACTCTCATTCACTCACACCCACTCTCTCATTCACTCACACACTCACACTCTCATTCACTCACACACACACTCATTCACTCACACACATACTCTCATTCACTCACACTCACACTCTCATTCACTCACACACATACTCTCATTCACTCACACACACACACTCATTCACTCACACACTCACACTCTCATTCACTCACACACACACTCTCATTCACTCACACTCACACTCTCATTCACTCACACACACACTCTCATTCACTCACACTCTCATTCACTCACACATACACTCTCATTCACTCACACACACGCTCACACACACACACACACACGCTCACTCATACACACACAACTCCAGCAGCCACTGACAGCTTGGACACACACTCGAGCAGACACCTAGGCCCAATCCCAATTCTATTTTATACCCCTTCCCCTTCCCCTCCAACCAAAAGAGAATCGAGACACCCCTACCCTTCACGTGAGCGCACAATAGGTAGGGGAAAGGGGAAGCGGTAGAACTGGGATTGGGCCTTAGTGTGTTTACCTGTGCTCCGGAACAAAAAAGAACATGAAATTTAGTTCTGATTCGCTCAGCATCCACACTGCCATTTGCACACCAGACCTAAAGATACAAACGAACTGGAATGATTTTAGCTGAACTAAAGTGTTTCTGTGACATTTCAAATAGGGATGTTCACACTTGTGATGTTAGGTTCGAGTAAAGCTGGTGCGATTGCTCTGTTCGTGTGGTATGAATAAGTGTGACCGCTGCGATCTGAACCTGGCTGTGAACACAAGATTTTTACAAATGTACAACTAGATATTAATTTTCTATAGCAGAGTTTTCCTTCTATAGTTTGACACTGTAATAGCACATATTTACATAGAAAACCTCATTAAAAAGCAGCGGAGCTTTGTAAGCAGCTCAGAGTAATCCCATCATCTCCATAACAACGATATGATCGCCAGAACAAATTTACCGGGATTTTTGAAAAGGTGTTAATGTATTTTTAATATACAGTGGGTACGGAAAGTATTCAGACCCCCTTAAATTTTTCACTCTTTTTTGTATTGCAGCCATTTGCTAAAATCATTTAAGTTAATTTTTTTCCTCATTAATGTACACACAGCACCCCATATTGACAGAAAAACACAGAATTGTTGACATTTTTGCAGATTTATTAAAAAAGAAAAACTGAAATATCACATGGTCCTAAGTATTCAGACCCTTTGCTGTGACACTCATATATTTAACTCAGGTGCTGTCCATTTCTTCTGATCATCCTTGAGATGGTTCTACACCTTCATTTGAGTCCAGCTGTGTTTGATTATACTGATTGGACTTGATTAGGAAAGCCACACACCTGTCTATATAAGACCTTACAGCTCACAGTGCATGTCAGAGCAAATGAGAACAGAGATGCAGTCGGGAGATGGGAGAAAGTTGTAGAAAGTCAACCATCCCTGCAGCCCTCCACCAGTTGGGGCTTTATGGCAGAGTGGCCCGACGGAAGCCTCTCCTCCGTGCAAGACACATGAAAGCCCGCATGGAGTTGTGAGATGGTGAGAAATAAGATTCTCTGGTCTGATGAGACCCAGATAGAACTTTTTGGCCTTAATTCTAAGCGGTATGTGTGGAGAAAACCAGGCACTGCTCATCACCTGTCCAATACAGTCCCAACAGTGAAGCATGGTGGTGGCAGCATCATGCTGTGGGGGTGTTTTTCAGCTGCAGGGACAGGATGACTGGTTGCAATCGAGGGAAAGATGAATGCGGTCAAGTACAGGGATATCCTGGACGAAAACCTTCTCCAGAGTGCTCAGGACCTCAGACTGGGCTGAAGGTTTACCTTCCAACAAGACAATGACCCTAAGCACACAGCTAAAATAACGAAGGAGTGGCTTCACAACAACTCTGTGACTGTTCTTGAATGGCCCAGCCAGAGCCCTGACTTAAACCCAATTGAGCATCTCTGGAGAGACCTAAAAATGGCTGTCCATCAACGTTTACCATCCAACCTGCCAGAACTGGAGAGGCTCTGCAAGGAGGAATGGCAGAGGATTCCCAAATCCAGGTGTGAAAAACTTGTTGCATCTTTCCCAAAAAGACTCATGGCTGTATTAGATCAAAAGGGTGCTTCTACTAAATACTGAGCAAAGGGTCTGAATACTTAGGACCATGTGATATTTCAGTTTTTCTTTTTTAATAAATCTGCAAAAATGTCAACAATTCTGTGTTTTTCTGTCAATATGGGGTGCTGTGTGTACATTAATGAGGAAAAAATTTTAACTTAAATGATTTTAGCAAATGGCTGCAATATAACAAAGAGTGAAAAATTTAAGGGGGTCTGAATACTTTCCGTACCCACTGTATATGCTAAAGCCTGGTTTTCACTTAGGTCTGTTTGTGCTACTAAAAATATCAGATTACTCGGTCGTCAAAATAATCAGTAGATTACTTGATTACCAAAATAATCATTAGTTCCAGCCCTAGATTAGTTAAAATATTTAAAAATACAACTGCATTGTTTTACTTTTTGTGATTAAAAGACAAATATTTTGTCATTGAAAATTTCTTTAAAATAGTATTAAAATATCATCTCGTTCTATTGAACCAAGAATATGTCATCTCGTGTCGATAAGCCGTGATATAGCTCATCATTTTCCAAGTGTATATAACTTTCATTCTTCAGGTCAACCATATATTCATGGGGAAAAAGCGATAACTTTGTCATAGTATCCTTTCAAATGTTATTTTGATCACAGAGATGGTGTTAAACTATTCATTGGGTTTTTGTCAAATATTCCCAATTATTAATCATGGTTCATAAATAACTTTCATACAAAAATGTATTATAAATTTATGATTTTTTTTTAGAACTATTGAAATCACACACACACACACACACAGAAAATCACATTTTATACATGCATATTTAATGCTTATATTTAATACTTATTCAAATATATGCAATGCATACCATTAAAAACATATATGATTAAAATATATTTAATACTTATCATTCAAATATATAAACGTAAAAGAGTGAGATAAAGCTGGAGATGCAAAGTTCCTCTGCATAAAATAATACTGTAGTAAGTCTGGATCTGTATAATGAGTGTTTGTGTTTGAAGTGATTTTGAGGATGACACACTTGGCTTCTTCTGCACATCTTTAGAGTTTATTTTGGAGTTACATGTTTTGTGAAAATGACGAAAGGCTGTAAAGGCAATATTGTGCAGAAAGCCGATATATGGA